TTGGGTATGATGAGCATGCGATGAATATAGCCATGGATTGGAGAAATGAGATTAGAGATTATTTGAAGAACCTGGATTTTTTAGGAACGGTTAGTGTCCAACTAAAAGCTTTACAATTTTGGTTAATCAATGATTCATTATACAAAAGAACGCTTCATGATGTTCTTCTTCAGTGCCTGGGTCCATAAGAGGTAGTCGCCATCATATAGGAGATCCATTATGGAATTTGCGGAGCCCATTGGGTAGGATTGAATATAAGGTGGGCCATTCATCGATTAGGATATTTTTGGCCTAAGACGTTTGAAAATTGTATACAATTTTCCAAGTGGTGTGAAGAGTGCCAGAAGCACGGGCTGCTCAATTACTTACCGAATGTGGAATTCTAAAAGATAATTAAGTCGTGACCATTCAAAGTGTGGGCTATAGATATTATCGTGAAGATTCACCCGTTCTAATCCAAGCAGTATTGTTTCATTTTGGTAGCAATGGATTATTTCACTCAATGGGCGGAGGCTGCTATTACATTGAAAAATGCAACCCAAAATGAGGTGGTAGATTTTGTTCGAGATTACATTATTTTTTGTTACGGAATCCTGTATACTATTGTGACCGATCAAGGATTTATGTTCATTGGTGAAAGTTTTTTGGATTTTCTGGCCGAATTCAATATCAAGTTGCATTATTCTTCGCCGTATTATCCACGGGCGAATGGACAATATGAGACAACAAACCAAATTTTTGTCAACATCATAAAAAAGATGATCGGTGACAATCAAAGAAAGTAGCATCTGCTTCTGGCACAAGCCTTATGGGTGCACCAGAAGAGTAGGAATTCAGCTATTGGAATTTCACCTTACTAACCCACTTTTGACAAAATGTGGTCTTGCCAGCCGAAATAAGGGTACCGACTACCGGAACGGCTTTGACAGAAGTTGACATAGGAGAGGAACCCAGGCAAGCGATGTCTCAATAGTTGGAACAACTAGACGTGATTTGGATGGAGGCCATTGATCATATGCTCAGGAAAGTCAGACCTGAAAGAGGTACTACAAAAAGAAGGTTACTGCGAGAAAATTTAAACAAAGTGACCTAGTTTGGAACACTATTTTACCAACCTATAAGAAAGTGAATCAATTAGGGAAGTGGTCCCCGAATTCAGAGGGGCCTACATAATTCATAAAGAGATAGGTAAAAGATCTTTCATTATTATTGATCAAGAAGGGAAATCAGTACATAATTTTATCAATGCCAAATACTTGAAAAGGTATTATCCTGCCTTTTCAAGTCACATAACCGACTAAGCGGCCACTTTATTTCTAACCTAGCAAAGGGGTTCAGACTCGGTTGGGCCCGTCTAATCGTCATCCGGGATGGTGATACATGGGGTATCATTGTCATCATCGGATTTTGGGGTCCAAGGGTCAACAGCTAATGGAGGTTCTTCATCCAATAGGTCATCCAAATCGGGGAGGTAGCATTCCCATTGTTCTTGCATTTCTTCGAGGATTCTTTATGTCCTTTTCTTCATATCTTTCAAAGTTTGGCGTTCTCGATCAAAGATCACAAGTAGGCGAGTAAAGGCTGCTCTTTGATGAGAGAATTGACTTACCCAACTGAGATCGGGAAAAATGACCATTGCGTGGTGTTCTATCAGGTCCTTGTGGTGTTCCAGATCGAAGAAACGAGTTAGCATGTCCTTTGAAGTCTCCTAGCTTTCCACCACCCACTGCATCAGGTGAGTGGTTTGGTGTAAGGTGCGGCATCCTCTCCGAGAAAATATAAATTTGAAATCAAGCTATTTTGAAACTTGCAAAAATTATTCAGCATTGACAGAGATGGGCTATTGACAAACCAAAAGAGGTTGAAGAACGCATTCCCAATTCTTGGTTGGAACACGAATATGAGGTTGTTGAGAAGACATGTTGGGTCTTGGTGAAAGGGCTTTATATTGAAGAATTTTTCCAGGATGTTAATGGTTTGATGGGTAAGATACTAGCTTTTTATTCAGTGTATATGCCGTGTTTCCATTTATTTTTGGGGATTATAATGCTAGATTAACCAAGTGTTTGCAATAAAAGGGAGGAAAGACAAAATATGTCATTGATTGGATAAAGATTTACAGAGTCTTTACAAAGAGAATCAATTGCGGCCAGGATATCTGACCACTTCTGGTTCAGTTGGTCCTTCCTCCTTTGAGTGATGGATAGGGTCCTTTCCGCCCTTTTTCAAATTCGGTGGGCAACGTTTTGCTTGCGAGCAAGCTCTGCCCGATGATTCGATTGGTTCCGCAAAATTTGGTCTTCGTCAGAAAGACACTTGTTCATTTCTTCCAACTCTTTCTCTTATCTTTCTAGCTCTTTCTGTAAACATTCAATTCTCGTTTACTCCTCTCTATGTGTGCAAAAATTTATTCCTTTGACAATTAAAGGACTTCTATTCATTGTTACGATCGGCCCAACACCAAATCCATGTTAGCAATGTTATATCGTATCATGTCAATCATAGGGGTGGATGTTCGGGGGTCCTGATTTGCAGCCATTTGAAAGAGTGACAAATCAACGACGACTTAAGATAATCTTACAAGAATCCGGTCGAGGACTTGGCCTGCAAGAGACTCAGTTGGTTGGTTGCTCAGTAGACTGCGAAGCCATCCATCAGTTTGTTCTGTTTGCCCTAAGTTATCTGGCAAGAGTTCTTCCAGCAACCATGGAAAGCGCTAGCCGAATTTTGGCAAGGAGGGACACGACAGAAAGGGAAGTCCAGAAAGCCTTGATCATGCGATACAAATTGTGGATGAGTTTTTGCTGGTGCTTTGTTTCGGAAAAAAATATGATGAATTTGGTTACTTGGCCTAGGGTAGCCATCTGGGCTGATGGAGCCAAATGTGTGATCAAGCGCGGAGGAAGTTGGGTTCTAGTTGGAGTAGTCAGGTTCCGCGCCGAATCCTCAGGAGTTGCTGCCACAACGTCTTCCCCAGTAGGGGATTGGTCAGGGTCCCCTGGGTCGGACCCGTTGTTGGGTCGGGGTCCTCATGGGCTGGGCTCTCCGCATCATCCTCTGGCATGAAAGGATTGGATTTTTGAAAGAAAAAAAAAAAGTGTTGAGAACCAAGAAGTAACGAATGAAAGATTCTTCGAAAAAGACAACTTATAGTAACAGATTCTTCATCTGGTATACTGTGCGGAGGGGAATGAGGTTGTTTTGGCCTCTTCAGACAGTCCTTGCCTCTCAATCAGTACTTCCGCATCCCGATCATTTATCGTTTGGTTGACTGTTATCGAACCCTCATTTGGATATTTGATTACTTGAGATGAAACTTGATGTTTGAGCAAAACGAGAAATAAATTGGTAAGATGGAATAGAAGGGTACCTGAGAAGGAATTTGGTCTTGGACTTCGGCAGGAGGAGCTGGCCCTCGATTGTGAACGTCAGCGGACGGGGCTTACCTCTCGACCATTGCCCATGTATGATGATCGGTCATTGGCGGATCAGCTTTTCGGTCGGCTTCATCATGAATGTTTGGCCATTGATACAAAGGTTGAACGTTATGGTATTGAAATACTAAGTAAAATAAAATTTGGAAAATACCTCAGGAACAGGGGCTTTTTCGGACGGAGGGATTTGAGTTGGTTCAATGGCAGGGGTCGGTTTGTGCCCACCTGTCGTATGGTTGGCCTGTTTGAATGAAGGGATGATTGGAGCGGTGGTCGGATCGATGAAAGCTAGCAAAGATTAAAGTAACTAATGCAAATACTTTGATACATTAAGTGTCAGATGAAAAGAAATTATTCGGAAGGCAAGAAATTTTGCATGGCAATCTGTGAGTTCAGAGATTATTCATTGACTTGGTGGGAGAAGGAAAGACGTTATAGGGAGCGACATCGAAGAAATCCAATTGATACTTGGACGAAACTTAAGGAGATGATGAGGAGACGCTTTGTGTCGGATAGTTATGAGCGGGATATGAATATTAAGCTGCAATCCTTGGTGCAAGGTTCGAAGTCGGTAGAAGAGTATTTTAAGGAGCTGGAAATTTTGATGATGAGGTTGGACATTGATGAGAGTGAATCCTTGATAGAGGCTCGATTCATTAAGGGTTTGAGGCGTGAGATAGCCGATACGGTTGAGCTGCACCGTTTTCGATCTCTTGGGGAAGCTGTGGATTTGGCAATCAAACGGGAGGAGCAGCTCAAGGGACCAACATCAACCGGGCATTCCTATCAAAGGAAGTTTCCAACCAGCTCTGTAACTTCATTTGTCTCTTCCACCGGTTCTAAGGGAGTAGTTTCCACAAAGCCTTTCGATAAAAATATGGAAAGACAAGGCGAAAATAGTAGACAAAAAGGATGATGCTGCTGTAAGGTTCAAGGGGAAGGAGTTGGGGCATAGGAAAGAGAAGATTGTGATGTGTTATAAGTGTCATGGGCAAGGGCACTATGCAGGCCAATGTCCCAATAAGCGGACTATTATGATTTTAGAGAATGGAAAATGGGGTTATGTAGATGATGGCAGAGGCGGAACTAGAGGCCGATGCAAGGGGGGCTAGTTCTTAAATTTTTTAAAATAACACCATTAAATATATATTTGAATGTTGTATTTTTTCAGTTGATATATTTGAAGATAATAATAATAAATAAAGCAATAAAAAATACATATTGTATATATTTATTTTATTTTGTTTAAAAATAATAAATAGAACTGTTTTCTTTTTTAAAAAGAAAAGAATATTTAAAAAATTATTTAAATTATCTTATTATCACAACTAAAAGTGTATTTAACTTTTGTTATATATATTATATTATCTTATAATATTTCTAAAAAATTATATATGAAATTAAAATACTAGGCATAAACATACTTAATTTTTTTTAGTATTATTCTTTATGTAATTTAAATATTTTTAATATACAAATACATACTTATATAAAAAAAATTAAAAAATATTTAAATAAAATAAAGGGGGTGGGGCCCGGGCGGGGGGCTGGAGCCCCCCTTGCCCTATGGTGGTTCCGCCTCTGGATGATGGTGATGGTGATGGAGATGGTGATGACGTAGTAGTTGCTGAAGATAATGATGATGTTGTTGAGGAAGTTTTGATAAGGATCCTTTAAGTTTAGTGGTGATGCGAGCCTTGGCATCCCTACCTCGTGAAGATGCAAACCGTAGGGAAGACGAACAACGAGAAAATTTGTTCCATTGCCATTGCAAGGTAGCAAGGTGTACCTATCCATGATAGTTGATTCGGGCAGCTGCACTAATGTTATTAGTTCGTATATGGTAGAGAAGTTGTGTTTAAATACTACCGCTCATCCGAAGCCATATAATTTACATTGGATGAGTGACGAAGGGGCTGTTCGTGTGGATAAGCAAGCAAGAGTGACATTTTCCATTGGTGGATTCAGCGATGATGTGTTTTGTGACGTGTCCCATGACCGCATGTCATCTTCTCTTGGGACGTCCTTGGCAATTTGATCGGTGTGTCTTGTACAATGGGTATAAAAGTCAAATATCCTTTTCTAAGGATGGTAAGAAGCTGAGCATTTATTCCCTACCACCCGAGGCCGTACGTCGTGATGCTGAATACTTGCGTAGATCTATGTGTGATGTGGTGAAACAAAAGGGGGCTGCCACTACAGTTTCGGCGAAATCTTCGTGGGGAGACGACGGAAAAATATTGCTTAGTCTCAAAGAGTTCAACAAGGAAATTCGCCAAAACAGTAGCCAAGATGAGGGAAGTTACTTTTATATTCTTCTACTAAAAGATATACTTGTGATAGATTTTGATTCATTTGCTCACTTGTTTCCTCCTTTTGTAGACTTGCTTAAGGAGTTTGATGATGTCTTTCCGGATGATATACCGCCTGGATTACCACCGTTGCGAGGCATTGAACATCGTGTTGATTTTGTACCGGGTGCATCAATTCCTAATAGGCTAGCTTATAGGTGTAACCCGAAAGAAAGTTAAGAAACTCGGAGACAAGTCCAAGGGTTTCTTGATAAGGGATGGGTTAGAGAGTCTTTATCTCCTTATGTTGTCCTTGTTCTTCTTGTTCCTAAAAAGGATAACTCATGGCGTATGTGTATTGATTGCAGGGCTGTCAATGCGATTACCATAAAATACCGGCATTCAATCCCTCGATTGGATGATATGCTTGACGAATTACATGGAGCACAGGTGTTCACAAAGATTGATTTAAAAAGTGGCTACCACCAACTTCGTATGCAGCCGGGAGATTAGTGGAAAACAGCTTTTAAAACCAAGTTTGGATTATACGAGTGCCTAGTCATGCCATTCGGGTTGACAAATGCACCCGGCACTTTCATGCAATTGATGAACCATGTGTTGAGAGAACTTATTGGAAAGTTTGTTGTGGTATACTTTGATGACATACTTGTCCATAGTATGTGTTTGGAGGATCATCTTGGACATGTTAGGCAAGTTTTTGATGCATTAAGAAATGCTAAATTATATGGTACATTAAAGAAATGCATATTCTGCACTAATGAAATTGTTTTCCTTGGTTTTGTTGTAGGTGAAGATAGTCTTAAGGTTGATGAAGCTAAGGTTGCAGCGATTCAAGAATGGAAAAAATGCACTAGTGTGGCTGAAGTTCGGAGATTTCTTGGAATGTGTGGATTCTTTAGGCGTTTTGACCCACATTTTAGTATGATAGCAGCCCCACTAACCTCCCTTTTGAAGAAGAATGTTCTGTTTAAGTGGGAGGCAAGTCATATGGCCGCTTTTGAGAAGCTTCGGGACAGCTTGATACATGCTCCAGTTTTGGCATTACCAAACTTTGAGCGGGCTTTTGAAGTACAATGTGATGCTAGTGGAGTTGGCATAGGTGCCGTGTTGTTGCAAGAAGGACGCCCAATTGCATACTATAGTGAGAAGTTCCATGGGGCAGCTCTTAACTATTCGACATACGACAAGGAATTATATGCGGTTGTGCAAGCCTTGAGAGTTTAGCAACATTACTTGCTGCCAAAGGAGTTTGTAATTCACACGGATCATGAGACCCTTAAGCATTTGCGTGGGCAGCAACAACTCAGTAAGCGTCATGCTCGGTGGGTAAGCTTTATTGAACAATTTCCGTATGTTATTAAGTATAAACAAGGGAAGGAGAACGTAGTTGCTGATGCACTCTCTCGGAGGTATGTTTTACTTAATCATACTCGTGCACATTTTGTTGGATTTGCCCATATCCGTGAGTTGTATGAGCACGATGTAGATTTTGGTGATATATTTAGGAGATGTGAAAAACATGGTTTTGTTGATTATTATATGCATGATGGCTATTTGTTCCGTGGTGATAAGTTGTGCATTCTCATATGTAGCATTAGCGATGTTTTGATTGAGGAGAGTCATGGTAGTCATATACTTGGACATTTTGGAAGACATGCTACTTTTGATGTTCTTAGTGTTCATTTTTATTGGCCACATACGTGTAAACATGTTGATTCTTTTGTGGATAAGTGTCTTGCTTGTAGAGTGTCAAAGAGTACTTTGAAGCCAAATGGTATGTATACTCCTCTTCCCACTCCGGAGGGACCTTGGTTGGACATTTCTATTAACTTGGACACCACGTGCTAAATATTCAATTTTTGTAGTGGTTGACAGGTTTTCCAAAATGGTGCACTTTATACCTTGTGCGAAGACAACGGATGTGAGTCATGTGGCGAAGTTGTTCTTCCGAGAGATTGTGAGATTGCATGGGGTTCCAAAAACCATTGTTTCGGATCGGGATGTGAAGTTTTTATCCTATTTCTGGAAGAGTCTTTGGCATGAAATTGGGACGCGCTTACTTTTCTCTAACACATGTCACCCCCAAACGGATGGCCAAACGGAAATTTGTTACGTGCTATGGTAAATGATAGTGGGCGGACATGGTATGAATGCATTCCTCATGTTGAATTTTCTTATAATAGACATGTTAGCTCTACTACTCATTTATCTCCATTTGAGGTTGTTTATGGTTTTAACCCCTTAACTCCTACGGATTTACTGCCACTGCCTAGTAGTGACCATTTAAATTTTAGTGGCAGGGATCGTGCTACATCAATTATGGAGCTGCATGCCAAAGTACGGGAGAATATTGACAAGGCGGCCGTAACATATGCACGATATGCTAATCGAGGGAGGAAGCGTGTGATATTTGAACCCGGCGATTGGGTGTGGGTGTACTTGTGTAAAGAACGTTTCCCGGGGGTGTGGCGTGGGAAACTTTCCCCTCATGGAGCTGGACCATATTGTGTATTGGAGCGCATTAACGACAATGCCTACCGCATTGCACTTCCGGAAGAGTTTGGCGTGAATGCGACCTTCAATGTTGCCGACTTGAGTCTATTTGATCATGCCGATGATATTTCTACTATGGTGGAGCCTAGCCTTGAGGACAAGGCAGCCGAAGGGGGAGAGGATGACATGATATTGGGTGACCCGAACCCGAATGTCAGCGGACCAATCGCGACCCGTACCCGATCAAAGACATTACTTTGTTTAGAGGTTGTGAGCCGTTAATTTTTAGATTAGATGTATGGACCAGATTAGATTAGTCCTTCTCAGCATATATTCCTTATATTCTACTTGTAAAACATATTCCATACAGTTTTTAGAAAGTAACTACCACTTTGAAGAAATTTTTTTTCTTTTCGGAGAGATTCCGACCATCCATTGGAGTGATTCCAATCAACCGAGAGGGTTAATTTTTGAGCCTTCGCAATGCAGCTTACGTGAGAGATGGAAGAAGCATTCACAAGCCTCAAACAGTTCATGTGGATTCATGAAGGTGTTTGCTCGAGAGGACTATTCGTTGATTGATTCCAAATTATCCGCCGGTTCGTTTATTTGATTTCGTAGTTGATTCTTCTCTTGAATTGAGATTAGATGTCATGGATTTGATCCTATCTATGTCATAAAAATTTCGTATCAAAGCGGTTACCATACTTGCTTCGAGTTGATCTCAATGTGTTCAATCATATGTCTCAATGTCTTTTTTGATCCAATCGTTTTTGATCCAATCCGTTTTTTTTCCAATATGTTTTTGATATCATATTTTGTTTGAAAATCTATAAAAAATTCTAGTCCGTGATGAAGATTTGTTGAATTTTTTTGATTGGAAATAGCAAGTACAATGAAGCCTTATCCTTTGATCGCATCTCTTTCAATGCCTTCTGTTGAGCTGCCGTATGTCCCTCCGTACTCGCGAGTTCTTCAAAACCTTCATGAACTATCTCCCACGCATCTTGAGGTCCAAGAAGCGCTTTTATTTGAATACTCCAATTCTCATAATTTTCCTTCGTCAAACGCGGTAACAAAATTAGACCCATTACATTTGCCATCGGCTCTAATACCAATTTGAAAAATATGAAATGGGGAGACAAGCACACACACGAATACAAACACAAAATTATAGAGATAAAACAGACTACATTTCAAAGCACACAAAAAAACATGAGATACTTTACAAATGAAAACCACAATTAATCCAAACAAAAATGACATTATTCTAGTGTAACCTCTTCCACACCCATTATATATTTTTAATATCCACTAACCACATTCTCATGCATTATCTATATATATATATATATATATATATTAATATCCACTAACCATACTTTCATGCATTTTATATATATATATATATATATATATTAATATCCACTAACCACCCAATATAACACCCACTTAAAGATCCATTTAAGTTTATTCAACAAATCAAAATTCTGGGTGCAATTGCAGTGCAACTAATTTGCGTGTGAATCTGAATTTAACCAACTGGAAATTGGAATTGGAATTGGAATTGGTAGTGACATGATCAATTGGATGGATCTGTGTAGTTTGCCCCCATTCCAGTCTCCAATCCTCATGTCATCATCAAACCTGCCGTTAAGTGAAGTGATGAGCATCAAATGAAACCCTAGCCCTGATGAAATTCGACAATCAAATTTTTAAAATTTTTCTTAAGAAATAATATATAAATCAATTATTTGTTATGGTATTATTATTATTATTATTAAAGATAAAACAATAATTTTAATTGAAAAGTACTTTAACTTCCTACTTCGAAAAAAATAGCACATTTCAACTTCAAAAGTGCTTATGCTTTTGGGCATATAGAAAGCGTTTTTTTAGAAGAAAAAGCCAAACCCCTCTCAAAAACTAATCTAAACGGAGCCTTAGACTATCTAATTTATTTGAATAAGTTTTATGGCATCTTTTAGTTATATATAATCAAGTAGTAAGAGCATATGCAATGACTTAGGCATAAATTTGTATTCCTCTCTTGATAGTGAAAGTTTGCTCCGCCTTTGCCCGTGGATGTAGGTCTTCTTGACCGAACCATATATATCTTTGTGTCCTTTAAATTTCACATTCTTTTTTTTTTTTTTTGTCATTGTTAAGGTTCTGCAAATATTTGTTTGAGGCCATAATCCTAACAAATTGGCATCAGAGCGCTTGTTATATTTGTGGGAATCTTTTGTTACCACACAATGACAATCACAAGGATGGTAGTGGAGAAGTTTGACAAAAATGTCAACTTTGGGATGTGGCAGCTCAAGATGAAGGCCATTTTGGTCCAAGGTGAAGTTGATTTGGCAATCCAGGGTATTGAAAAAATGCCTAAGCATATGGAGAAGTCCAAATATTTGGAGCTGGATAAGAAGGCTCGTTCGAGTAGTATCTTAAATCTCTTTAATGAGGTTTGGCAGAAGGTTGCAACGGAGACTTCGGCTAAGGCAATATAGGTAATCTTAAGGCCTTATATATGAAGAAGTCTATTGAGAATCGTTTGTACCTAATGCAAAGCCTTTATATGCTTTTAATGGAGGAAGGTACGTCATTGCTCTCCCATCTTTATAATTTTGATTCGATTATTATGATTTGGAAAATATCGATTCTAAGATAGATGATGAGGATAAGCGTTGCTACTTTTGTGCTCATTATCCCAATCTTTTAAGAATTTTTGTGATATTATGATTTATGGAAAAAAATTATTTCTTATCAAGAAATCAAATTTGCTTTGAAATCTAAGGAGCAAATCGATATATCACTGGAGAAAATATTGGGGTTAATGCTGAGAGCCTAGTTGTTAGAGAAAGATCAGATAAACTATGACAATAATAAATCTCGATCGAAGTCTAGACATCGAAATATAAAGTGTAACTATTGTAATAAGATGGGGCATATTAAATTTGATTGTTTTAAATTGAAAAATAAGCAAAAGGGAAAATCGGTGAAAAGAAAGATAACACCGTTGAAGCTAGTGTTGCTACTGATGATAGTGAGGGTAGTGTTTTCCTTGTCACTCAGATAGGGTGCGATCTACAAATGAGTGGATTTTGCATAAAATATGTTCTTATCACATGTTTCCCAATAGGTATTTGTTTGCTACTTATGATTCAGGCAACGGAGGAACTGTCTTAATGGGCAACAACGCCATTTGCAATGTTGTGGGTAAGGGCACTTTTCGTATCAAGATGCATGATGGCATTGTGAAGACACTCACTAATGTTAGGTATGTCCCTAATTTGAAAAAGAATCTCATCTCTTTGGGCACTTGATTCACTTGGTTGCAGGTACACGAGTCAAAATGGTGTGCTGAAGAGTTTCAAATGTGCTATCATTATTTTGAAAGGTATCCGATCTGAAAACTTGTATACTTTGCAAGGGACGACTATTACTGGGAATGCAGCTGTTTCATCATCCTCTCTGGCTGAATCTGACATCACCAAGTTCTGGCATATGCGTTTGGGGCATATGAATGAAAAAAGCTTGGGAATCTTTAAGCAAGAGAGGACTTATTTGTGGACAAAGTACTGGATTGTTAGAGTTCTGTGAGCATTGCATATTCGGAAAGCAGAAAATGGTGAGTTTCAATTCTTTGGGAACTCGCAAGACGAAAGGTACACTTGACTATATCAACTCTGATCTTTGGGGTCCATCTCGTGTTTCATCTAAAGGTGGTGCCATATATATGCTAACTTTTATTGATGACTACTCAAGAAAGGTATGGGTATATTTTTTTAAGAATAAGAATGATGTTTTCCTAACTTTCAAACAGTGGAAAGGTAAAAGCAAACATGAAAACAAATCAAGCGGTTGTGAAAAGATATTCGCTTGAAATTTTTTAGAGGGGAGTTAACTGAGTTTTTCAAGAAAGAAAGAGTCGTTCAGCATTGCGCAATCAGGATGACATCTCAACAGAATGGCGTGGCTGAACGTATGAACATAACACTCTTAGAAAGGGCAAGATGTATGATCTCGAATGCATGATTGACTAAGGATTTTTGGACTGAAGCAATCAACATGGCTGCCTTCATTGTGAATTGCTCTCCAAATTATGTTCTCAACTTCAAAACTCTTGAAGAAGTTTTGTCAGGTACTCCTGCTGATTATTCTAATCTAAAGATTTTTAGGTGTTTAGCGTATATGCATGTAAATAAAGAAAAATTGGAGCCTAGGGTTAAGAAATGCATTTTCCTTGTTTATGCTTCTAGAGTGAAAGAATATAGATTATGGTGTCCTGATCCCAAATCTCCAAAGTTTGCAATCAGTAGAGATGTTACCTTTGATGAAATGGCTAGTTGTCTAACAAAGAGTCTTTGAGTTCACGTCAGAATACACAGAAGCAGGTGGAGTTCAAAATTGGTTGTTCTAGCACTCCTTAGCCAGACTCTTTTGTTCAGCAGATATCAGTTGATATTGAAAGTTCATAAGAAGAGCCATATTCCATAGCTACTGAAGACATCGCAGAGACACTCGACCTCCACAATGGTATATAGACTTTGTCGCATATGCACTATTTGTTGCAGAAGAAATAGGTGAAGACAGTGAGCCATCCGCATATTCAGACGCAATTAAGTGTGATCTGCTGAGTGGATAGCGGCGATGAATGAAGAAATTGAGTCTCTCCACAAGAATAATACTTGGGTTCTTGTGAAACCACCACTAGATAAGAGAATTATTGGAAGGAAATGGGTCTTCAAGAAAAAGAAAGACATTCCAGGAGGTGATAAAGTAAAATATAAAGCACGGTTGGCTGCAAACGGCTATAGTCAGGTGCAAGGTGTTGATTTTAATGATGTTTTCTCACATGTTGTCAAACATAGCTCTATTCGTGTCATGCTTGCTTTGGTTTTCATTGATGATTTGGAGTTAGAACAGATGGATATTAAGACATCCTTTCTGCATAGGGAACTTGAAGAGAATATTTACATAAAGCAACCCCAGGGTTTTGAAATCAGAAGAAAGGAAAACTATATCTGTTTGTTAAAGAAATCCTTACATGGATTAAATCAGTCTTCAAGGCAGTGGTATAAGAGGTTTGACTCTTTTATGTTGAGTAGTGGATATTTTAGGAGTACTTATGATACTTGTGTTTATTTTCGGAAGTTAGCCGATGGTACTCATATTTATCTATTCTTGTATGTTGATGATATGTTTATTGCTGCCAATAATATGTCAAAATTCACTCTCTGAAGTTGCAGCTTAGTTGTGAATTTGAAATGAAGGATTTGGGAGTAGTGAAGAAAATTCTTGGCATGGATATCCAACGTGATCATGGACAGAGAAGATTGGTCTTAACTCAAAAAAACTATGTTAAGAAGTTCTTGGAGCGTTTTGGCATGAATAATGCCAAACCAATGAGTGTCCCTTTTTCCAATCACTTTCGATTATCAGCTGCTCAATCACCACAATAAATTGAAGAGGAAGAAGAAATGGCGCGGGTTCCCTATTCAAATGTAGTTGGCAGTCTTATGTATGCAATGGTATGCACCCGTCCAGATATTTCACAAGCAGTCAGTGTTGTTAGCAGATATATGTCTAGTCCTGGAAAAACACATTGGCAGGCTGTGAAGTGGATTCTGAGATACTTACAAGGTACTTCGAATGCCTGTTTGGAATTTGGAATAAATGGTATTTCTTTAGTTGGATATGTAGATTCTGATTATGCTGGCGATCTTGATAGAAGAAGATATCTCTCAAACTATGTATTTTGCGTTATGCAGTTACCTGGAAAGCATCCTTACAACTAGTTGTGACATTGTCTACTATAGAGGCAAAATATATAGCAGTGGCAGAGGCAATTAAAGAAGCTTTATGGTTTAAAGGTCTTTTAGGCGAGCTCAATCTATATCAGAGTACTACTGTTATTTATTGTGACAGTCAAAGTGCGATACACTAGACTAAAGACCAAAGGCATTACGACAGAACGAAGCACATCGATGTGAAGTATCACTTCATCCGAGATATCATTGTTGAAGAGAATGTTTGCATTCAGAAAATTGATACAAAGGAGAATCATGCTGATATGTTTACAAAATCTCTTTCAGTCCTCAAGTTCAAACAGTGCTTGAGTTGTATTGAAGTTTAGTGTTCGTGATTCAGCCCGATGGGGCTTTGTGGAGAAGGTGGAGCAAGCTCATTATTTTGTCAATGTTGGACACGCCAAGGTAGAGATTTGTTATGTGGCTTTGTCCCACATTGGTTTGTTTTAATGATTTAAGTAATAGTTGTCCCTCATTGCTTGTGGTGAAAAATTAGCCATAAGCTTCTACTATAAATTGGTAGCATTGGGTTGGGTTTTAAGATACACCAAAATTAGACAAATAGTCATTCCATATATATTTTGTTAGTTACTTGCTTTTCCTTGAGGGTGTTTTGGGAGATAGAAAGTTGTGGGCTTTAGAATCGTTATTCGAGCCTATTATGTATTCCTCTCTTCATAGTTAAAGTTTGCTCTGGATTTTCCCATGAATGTAGGTCATCTTGACCGAACCACGTATATCTTTGTGTCTTTTAAATTTCTTGTTCACTACAAAAAAAATGTTTATTTGCGAGGGAAAAATTCTTTCGCAAATCAAATTATTTCCCTCGCAAAACCCGCTAGCGAAAGAAGTTGCGAAGGAATAAACACCATCGTTATTCACTTGCTCGCAAATTTGGATCCGAGGAAAAATTCCTTCACAAAAAGTTGTGAAGAAATTTTGACGATGGAACAATTCCTTCGCAAATATAACTTCATTTTTCCGAGGAAATTTTAACGAGAGAACAATTCCTTCGCAAATATAACTTTATTTTTCCGAGGGAATTTATTCCCTCGCAAACTTCACTTTTGCAATGAAATAAATTCCTTCAAAAAATTTGTTTTCCATGATTCCAAATTTTACGAGAAATTCATTCATTCGAAAAAATCCATTGTAAACTATTTTACAAATTTCCCAATTCATTTCAAATTCTTACCCCTGTCCCAAATAGTCACAAGCTAATATATAGATTCATTTCGAATTCCAATGTCTATTCCAAACAATTATAAACTAACAATATAGATTCATTTTACATTCATACACTTGTCCCAAAAAATAACAAACTAATAATATAAAGTCATCCCAACAACAATCCAAAAAGTAAACACAATAGAATACTAAATAAACTTTGTTCCCAATATCATACGATAACATAAAATAAACCAAGTGCAAGGTTCTATCCCGCGCATTTCTTGGATTGCTCATCCACTTGTTATAAGCCTCTTGTACGCTATTATTAAGCTGCTTTAGGACCTTTTCCTCATAAGCTGGATCTCATCTAATTAGAATACACAATACAAAAATATTAGAAAAAGGGAACTGAATCTAAATTAGTATGTTAAAAATTCACATAATTAATTGGTGTACTTTCATCTTAGTCGCATACCACCAGTGTGTATCTTTTGGTATGAAGAGCCACTTTCTTCCTTACTCCGTTAGGTTCAGTTTGAAAAAAATTTGACATATCCAAGGATTCCATTCATGGGGAGGATTTTGCTAATGAACAAATTGCACCATCAAAAAGCTTTTGACAGGAAGTGATATCAAGTTCTTGCAAAATGCGACAATTGAGTATTACATGAGACATGCTACTACGTCTGAGAGACAAAGTTTCAAGGTGTGAACATTTGAAGAAGACCATAAATATAATTAACGCAGTTGAAAAACAATACAATAGGACAAAATGCGACAAAAATGGTAAACTTTGTACCTGACAAATATGCAGCGCGGACATCTCTGTATGTGAAGCTCAACTAATCTATCATGTGAAATGTAACTAATTTATTCAACATATGGCAATCAATTAAGACTTGGAAAAATGCCTCTGGCAACTAGCTTTTGCCCAGAGTTAAACTCTCAAGATTTCTAGGATAAATAAGAGGTTCATAAATATAATATAAGACTACCACAGTTGAACCATCTTAAAAAAATGCATATTGTATATACCTCAATAAGGCTAATGTTTTTATTCTAAGAAGGTCAATTCTGGAGCACCATAGACATTCACACTTGTAGTGTTTGGATATCGATCACACATGGTTTCAACTAAATGAAAGAACAAAGTTAAAAGTAAGTTCTTAACTCTCTGGGACAAGAGAATCAACACATGCATGTAAGAATGAAAAGGCTTTAAGCAGAATAATAGTTGGATTATACTTGATGATATTTCACATATCTAAAATGTAGGCAGAAAGAACTTTGAATCCATATTTATATCAAAATGTCATATAATGGATAAAAAAATCGTTTGAACAAATAGCATATCACAATTGAACTACACTTACATCGTTTGATAAACATCGCTTTATTCTCAAAATTTAAAAACCATAAGAAGTCTTCAAAACAACTTGTGTCTCCATTGTCTGCAAACCCCTGCTGCTTGACAGATATCAATTAGGTCTAAGAAAGAGAACCTACAGCAAGTAGCATAGTAAGAATGTGTCTTACCACTTAAAAAAAGAACAAAAGTTAATGTTTAACATGAGTCATCTGTAATACTTACTGCATGCAATATGTCCTCTGCAATATCCATCAAAGCATCTAAATAGTCTGTTTTACGAGCAACACATTTAATTCTCAATTTACTTCTCGTAACATTAGATTCAACATAGAGTCAGTTTTCTTCTGAACCGGAGCAGGATGGTGAATCTCATTTTCAAAACTACTATGCCCACTACTATATACAAGACATATCAGAATGTGCACATATATATATATAACCAAGAAATAGAGTGTGCTCATTTAGAGTTTGATTGTCTTTTGATAAGAATCATGATAGTTGCATAGTAAAAGAACATATAATCAAATTCCAAAATAGTGCACCCAGAGAATCAACCCACATCATATTATTTAAAAGAGGCTAAAGTACATTTTGGGGACACCAATGCGGATTAAATCATGTAAAGAAAAATAAGGAAAAATAATAATAACAAAATACATTTTGGGAAACCAGCTTTGAGCTCACACTAGAGTCGCTTTAAAATACAGAGTCGCTTAACACTAGAAAAGTCCCAAGAAGATTGTATACTTTTTCGAAGTCGCATGTCGTCATTTGACACACATCATTCTATTGAACCCAACAACATAACAGAATAGCCAAAAGCTCTTATAGAAAAAGACATAACACAATAACTTTTAATAAAAAATAACTACATATATTCCCATTGGTTGACCAAAATAACCTCAATTGTCCCAGCACTGCGACATAATCAGAACCATAAAGTCAACCATTTACTATCAATAAAGATCTCCCTAGCAATATAGTAAAATAAACTCACCTAAATTGTAGCTTTTTGTTTATGGTTTTTCCCAGTAATATAGTAGTACAATTGGAAAATAATTTATTTTCCTTCACCTCAATTCCTTAATCAAATGCAAAATTACTAGTTATCTCCCCCACCCCTCCCCTTTTCTTCATTCCATATGAACCAATACACTACTACAATTTTCATTTCCCCCCCCCCCTTCTTTCCCTTTGTTGAACGTTGAACCAAACACACCCCAAGGGTGAACAACACCTAAACAAGCCAAACATGAATAGAAAATCAAATACTTCCTCCATCCCCAAAAAATGTGCTCAAACTTTCGGATATGGGTTTCAATATGAGGTGTGTATTTTTTGTTACTTTTTTCTTTTTATAGCAAGAAAATACAAAAAGTAATATAATTTTTTATTAAAAAGAGAAACAAGAATATTTTTTTTTATGAAAATCCCAAATGAAAAATGAGCACATTGTAAGGCGACGGAAGGAGTATTGATCAGTGTGAAATACATACATATATATATATATATCAGGACGTACTGACCAGTATAAGGAACTAACATATTTGTATCCTGAATTAGGGCGCCAATTCTTATTTGCTTGCTGATACATCGAGATTGTGCCATACTCAACGCCCACATAAATCTCTCCGGTTCCTGAGCGAGGCATTTTATTTTAAGGGGTACAACAGAAAGCTAGATAAACATACCACTAAAAATTAGGTAGAGGTGGCTAATAATAATAACTTGAAGGAAACAGGGTGCAAAAGCAACAAAATACCCAATTTCTTTCCCAAAATTACAATGCTCGCTTTATTTGTTCTCTCATGGTGGAAGCCAGCTCCTCATCCTGTAGCTCCAAAAGGTCTTCCTGTAATTGAAAGAAGAAAATATGAAAAAGCTCATTCAATAATATAGGCAAAAGCAAATATTTGGATTTTATTTCTGAAGTTGTCAAAAAATCTTAAAAGTCCATCTTGCAGGAGGAGCAAATGGTTGTATAACCTAGGCAGATTCAAACCTCCGTAGAAAGAATAAAGCTTCAGTATACACATCCAGTTATTAGTGTAACTATAGATGTAGATTTAGTGTAAATCTACCCGACATCACATTACTAATAAAAATTAAACAACACAAAAACTCAATAACTTAAGTAATATTTGGCCTAATTGGACACACTCTTTACTTTCTCTATCAATATACATCCAGTCACTCCAGCAAGATCAACTCAATTGCAAATTCACACGGGCACACACACATACAAAAATACAGAGTCACTCGAGCTAGAATTGGTTCAACAACACAAACACAGTCAAAGTTCATGTTATTTCGGAAAAGTATCATTGAGCGCACAATTTGATACACGCTCACACAAAAGCTTCAGCAAGTTTTGCCTTAATTGTCTAAAAGTCCATATGTTGTAGGTGTGACATTCTGCAGTCTCTATTTAATATTTTGTCAGTCCAAAGAAGAGAGGAAGAAATCTCGATGGTATCATACTATCATTTCAATTCTTCTTGACATTAATGAATACATAACATTAAAATTTGTCCATAATTAGTATTCTAATCATAAACCAAATGACACGACAACTTCCAAAGAGCACTGCTCCACAAAATAACCAAATTTCACTAACAATCTAACAATCGCACAAAGATCATACACACAAAAAAATAAATAAATAAAATAAAATCATATATATCATCCAACTTATCTAACAAAATTATGAATTCAATCCGTCAAATTAAAAACCTTATGACCCAGCGTGCAGAGAACCATTGATTAGAAGTTAACCCCATGGTTGCATCGTCGGCGTTGGTGTGTTTGTGTGTGTGTGCGGCGGCCAGCGGGAAGTGAATATTATCGATGCCGAAACAGTAGATGTGTTTGCCAGTGACTGCGTGTGGTGTGGCCGTGTGGGTGTCTATAGGGTTAAGGGTTTGAGTTGAATTTTAAAATTAGGTAATAAATTAATGGGTATTGGATAGTGGGCCATTTTGTATTTATATTGAACAATTCAGCCCAAAAGCTCAGGTATAAATAATTATAATATATATAATTAGTAATATAAATTAAAAATATATAAAAATATATTTGGTTCGGTTAATTAAATTAAAAAAAATATTAAAAATTAAAATCGAATAAATATCAAATATATTATATTTGTATTCAAATCAAATTTATTCAGTTAATCAAAAATTCGATTTGGTTAAGTTTGGTTCAAAGATTCGACGGTTTGGTTCGGGATGCTATTAGGTATCTAGGATTATGAAATTTAGCTTTTTGTTTAAAATAAAAATAATTTTATATGTTTGTTTTAATAAATAAATTATTTAATAAAAATAAAAAATCATTTGTAATTTTGTGAGGAATATAAATCCTTTGCAAACTCATTTGTTAATAACAAGAAATTTTTAATTATTTTCAAGGGAAATAAAATCCCTTGCAAAAATCATTCGCTAATTAGTAATTTTTTTTTTGTACTGGTTCTTATTTTTGTCATTGTTAATGTTCTACAAATATTTATTTGGGACCATAATCCTAACAATAATCAAAGACCATTTATTTGTAAGCCACTGCACATGCTCTAACGATGGTTTGTAAGTACTGTCAATTATATATATATAATATAGTATAGATTACAATAAAATTTTTAAACTACCACTTAATGGCCTCTAAATTTATGTATAGATAATATGAGGTTTGAACCCATAATTTTACAATTATAAGTCCACCTCTAAAATATGTCTATAAAAGCATATTAAACAAATAAATTTTAGATACATTTATTTAATAATTGCAAAGAGTTTGCTCACACCAAATGGGGCTATGCCAAAATCAATTAATCTGTTTTCCTTGATCGCCTCATTTTCTTTACCATTTTATGGATCTCGTAAATTATAATGCGGACAAGAAATTAAATTTGATTAATACCATGACATATAATCTGATGAGAAAATAAAAGGCACAAAAGAATGCTATAATATTTGTGTTTCAAGACCAAGTCTTGATAAAGTATTTGCACATTCACAATTTAGAAACCATTTAGTCATGACAACACACAATAATAGACATTAGGCAATTATGTATAGCAACAAAATAAATGTAAGAATGTGAAAAAATCAAAAAGAAAAGAAAAGAAAAAAAAAAAAATAGACAATGCAGTGAAGATTGAAGACTCAAAACATATTGTGTCATACTCTCTCCATCTTAAATATTATGTAGCGATTGAGGATTTTATTTTATTTTATTTCTTAATTTTTTTTAAGTACTATTTAATACTTGATCCGTTCTAGATAATTTGATCTATACGGTTGATACGAGAATTTAGGTAAAATATAATTAGTAAGTAATAAAGAAGTGCATTAGTAAAAATAACTATTGCATAGTAAAAAATAATTATAGATTAAAATTAAAATAACTAAATAATTTAATTAAGATTAAGAAAATAATAAATTATAAAACTTAAAATGTGATTAAACCATATAATCATATTTCCAAAAATGAAATGACAGATTACGTAGGATAAACGAAAATTGAAAATAAAGACATTATATGGGACGAAAGGAGAGAGTAATATAATAAAATAATCAGCCTTTTTTTTTTATGCAGTTTGAGGTGCTTTATGTTAAAAACACATGAACATTCTTGTGATGACTGCTTCAACAAAGTCTATTTTATATAAGATGGTTATGTTGGCTTCAAATTAGATGTCACCGCTTTTGTTACCAAATGATTTATTTTTTTGTGAGGTTAATTCAAATAATTATTTTTTATAGGACAAAAAAAAAATTACTTGCAAAAAATATTATTTTTTTGTTCTAATAGTTTTTATAACTACTATGAAATCTAGTTTTTTTTTTAAAAAAAAAAAAAAAACAAAGGTCATTTATTTTTAAAACCCTACCATGGCACTTGAAAAGCAATAAATTTCTTTTTATTTAAATAATAAGAGTCTAATATGAAAACAAACGCCTTGCAATTGATTGTTGAATTTCGTCAGGGTTTGATTTGATGCTCATAACATCAACGCGGCTTTGATGCTGATTGGACGCCTGAGTACAAAGATCAATCGAGGGTCACGACAATCCAATTTCAATTTCCATTTGGTTTGATTCCGATTCACATGTGCACTATAATTACAGGCAGGATTTAGAAAGCTTGCCCGCCCACGTTTTGGACTTCCAATTTCCAACATGATCAGAAATTGGACAGCTTCCATGAGCTTTCTTCTCTATTCAACTATGGTGGCGAAGGATCCTCTTCCTCGCAAATCCGCTCACGTACACAAATTAATATTTGATCCCTACCCAACTCCTCTACGACGGTGGTAGTGTTGCAAATGTAATCCACAACGGGTTCGGGATTCATTCCCTATCTAAGAAAAATGGGCAGATGAAGCTTCCTATTCAGTGAGATAACTTCACTACTCTTATTTGTCTCATCTGTTTTTTTCTATTACAGGAAATCAATCAGATTTATTTGTTTATTTAATTTTGAATTATCTTTTAGTTTTTGTAATCAAATGACAACAGATTTATTAAATGATGACCTTTTTTTAGCACTACACAATGGCGTCTTGAGACTTCGATTTTCACATAAATTTTTGAGGATGTGCTTGTTTTGTGTCTCTCTTTCTTATGTTACAACACTAGCTGATGTTACCGATTTCAGCAAAAGTGAAAAACCTATTTTACTAGGTATGTTGTGTTATTGTGGTGATTGTGTGTCTACTATAATATTAAACTTTAAAGTAGGCCTAAAGGTTTTGTATGTTGTCATGTAATTTTAAATAGGTGTGGGGATCAAGCAACTCATCCTTTATATCTGTGCATACTCTTAGTTAGTCTATAATGCTTTTTTAGGTCGTATTTTGTGAAAATAAATTGTTAAAAATGAATGATGTCAGCTCTTTAGTGCAATCACACTGGCCATAGTTATAGTCTCAATAACGCTAACTACATAGCCCCCTATTGCAAAGTTTCTACGATTGAGGATGACTTCACCTCTACATTTTGCTTCTTGATTATACTCACGTATTTCTTATTAATTACAAGATAATTAAAGCCGATAGTATAGATTAAATAAATAAATAAAAATAGTGGAAATATAGAGAAAATTATAGCCATAAGTTGTGTAGGTGGTTCCGGTAGTCTTGAGATTGGTGTCTGAGAAGGTCATATATATAAAAGTTGAAACAAGAATGTTTTGAAATTCATGTCATGGTAAGGCATTGGATATCTGTCAGGAGTATAATTTTCCTACAAAAATTGTATCCGGCTAGGATAAAAATGCAGTTTTATACTGTAATTGTTTTCTTTTGTCATTAGAAATGAAGTTATTCAAAGTAGAAATCTTGCAGGAAGGAAAGTTGTTGTTCATGTTGTAGTCCCTGATTTGTGGTTTATAAATGTATACATAGTTTATGCATCAATAAGGCTTGGTTCCACCATACAACCAAGGACTGTAGAGTAGGTGAGCATTGATGAAACTTTGATCGTTGTAGTTCGAATTTGGTAAATTTGGTGCTAGGGCTTTTCTTATATTATCCTTTATTTGCTAGATTTTTGTTCTGAGACGACATTAGAGATGGTATAATTAGGGGTGGTAGTTTGGGCCCACCCGGTTATGAAACATTTCGAACGAGCACAACCCAATTTGAACTGGGCCTGAACATCTACGCCCCAGCATGACCCAATTTGAAACCGGGCCATTCCAGATTATTTTTGTTTATTTTGAATTAATACTTTTCGTTTTAAATTATTTTAAGAAAAATTTTAATCAAACAGTGTAGGTGGGATTTAAACACAACCATATATAGACAAGACAACTACTTTACCATTAAACTATATCTTGATTTTTATCATTATTTCATTGGTTAATATATATATAAAGATATTAAATTTCAAATATTAATTTTAATAAATCGGCCCAGGCCAGGCATGATCCAAAAAATTTTGGGCCTTCTTTAAGAAGCCCAATTACGATTTTTTGTTTTCTTGTCAGGGGTACTATATATATTTGTTACAGAAATTTCAGGAAATCAAGATGAGACAACAAGGACAAAAGAACACATGAATTTGATGACCCAGTTCGATCACAATGATCTATGTCTGGGGCACTGTCAAACCAGGAATTTTCTATGAAGTACACAGGCACATGTTAAAGCGAGATAACATGGATATTTATAGCTTAAGCCTATGCCAATAATATCTAAATCATATCTTTAAATCTAGAATATAATATCCCAATCATATCTAAATTGTATCCAAATCACATCCCTAGATTTTTAGGATATAATCAAGCTTCATATCCTAACAATCTCCCAGTTGAAGACGGATTGTATCATCCACTTCAACATTTTACTTCATCGGCAACAATAGCTCCAAGCCTCCTTCTTCACTCATCGAGCCCAATTAAGGTTGAACACAACCTCAATTCATCTAAAGCCACCTCTTTAGATTGTCTTCCAGGATTGCTCATAAATTGGCTCACTACTCCCGTTGCACGTGCTTTCGACCTCTCAAAGGTATCAAAAGCATTATATTCGCGCTTAAGGAAATATACCCACACATCCCTTGTAACGTCGTCAATGAACGCAGTGTAGTACTGTGTGCCTCCAAGGGTCGATAGAGGAGCTAGTCCCCACAAGTCCGTATGAACCAATTTCAATTTTCCTTTTCAAGGTCTCTCCCACCATTTGAGAACGCACCTTTTGTTGCTTCCCAAAACACCAGTCCTCGCATACTCCAATATCGAAGGATGTGAGACCTGATAATCTTCCCTTTGAATTGAGCTCCCCTATCCTCTTCTCGCTCATGTGTTTGAGACAAGAATGGCATAAATTTGTGTCATTATTTATGGCCACAGAACTGATTTCATCTTGCATGGTTTTCGTTATGTAAAGAGTTTCATCTTTTCTCCCTTGGGCCACCA